AATCAGGTGCAAGCATTAACAAGATTCTGATCCCAGCTCCGGGTCAGTCCTACAACGAAATATCCCACCCTCGTCACGAAAAAGCCGATAATATTAGAAATCGCACCCCTAAACTGGAAAAAATTATACCAACCTTGAGAGTTAGTTGGACAGCGCGCAGAGACACGAGTTGTATCTTACAGAGACACGGTCGGTGTCTCTGGGAGACACGAAGGCACCGCCTCTCGCTTCGTTGCCGAAAAAATTAGGAACTCGCCTTTCACGCAGCTGTAAGGTTGGGGATGGATGAATGTAGTCCACTGGGGGCAGTTTTCGGTGCCGGTGGCTTTGCGGTGGGGGCGGTTTCCGATGGATGATGGATGGAGGAGAAGCTGAAGCTCATCGACGGTTTCATTGCTGGATTGAGAAGGAAGATCGAGAGGAAATTGGGGGATTGAAAACGGGCAAAATGAGAAGATATGGGGCAATCGATTTTTTTTTGTAGGGATTGATGCCAAAAAGACGTCGTTTCATCGGACGAAAATGTGAACAGTGTTTTCAAAAGTGGCTCTTTTATTGTATAGGGATAGGGATATAAAGGATTTATCCCATAAAATAATTCATAGTTCGACCACATGCAATCATAAACCTCATATGAACAAAGACAGGCTAATGCCATAACTGTATCTCTTCATGTTGATGAAAAAAAAAACAAAAAAAGACGAATAAGATGCCAAAATTTCGCACAGAAACCCGTCTCCACCCGAGAGCGCCGCCATCGGAGGCAGGTTGGAGGAAGAACGCAAGGAATTCGAATTTGTCGAGTTTCTGTTCTTGGAGTCCCAACAAATCGCAGCATGTTTTCCACTGGTATCAATGGCACAAAAGAGCCCATAATCCCCAAACGACGCAGAAATGGAGTCCATAGTCCCAAATCCCAACACAGAATCATCCAAAATGAGCATTAACATGACCGGGAAACAGAAAAAAAGTGGCGATTCTCAAAGGTCCAGAAATGAATTTGGGAGGATAATTCATGATTTGAACAATGGGCAGTAGTGAGGACCACTAAAATGATCATGGAGTAAGAGAGGCGCAGGAGGAGCGTGAGATAGAACAGTGATGAGGTTGGACTGGGGGTGGAATTGATGACGACAGAACGTAGGTTTTGCGGCTTCCATTTTTACCGTGTTGGTTTTGGATGTTTTGATGGAAACCTTGTACAAGGGCTTTAGCAAAGAGATGACAAGGTAACATAATGTGGGAAATGGTTGAGAAAATGAATATTAATAGTGGTGATAAGTACACCGCAATATTGTATTATGTTTTTTTTTTTTTTGGTTTTTTTTTTTTTATTTACTTAGGGGTATAATTGTAAATTTATTTTTGTGTATTTAGAAAAAAATATATTTTAATTGTNGAAATTATATATGAGAAAAATGAGGAGTAACATCGAGATGATGAATACACCACAATACTAGATTATTATTTTTTCATTTTAAATTTTTATTGAATTAGGAGTATAATTGTAAAGTTATTGTGGTGTATTTATTAAAAATATATTTTAATTGTGGTGTGATTATAATGTAGTGTAGTAATTAAATTTGTAGTGGTAATATAATTATCCCTCTTTAAATTTATATTCTTCCATTCCAAATTGTCCCCAAGTTGCCTAAACTGTTGGATTGTTTTTTTACTAATGGACTAACATTTACATTTTGATTGTTGGGCCCATAATGGATGGGCCATTTTTTTAATTAGCACATATGGAGGCCCCTTACTCTCATCCCAATTGATATAGAATTGGCCCATTGAATTCTATAGAATATAGAACAACCCCTTTGCCTCTGGTTTTTTAGAGTGAGAGAGGATCGGTGCTTAGGGTTGAAAAAGGGGCAGAGTGTAATTATCTCCATACAAGATTTCTTCATTTTTACGGGTTAAAGAAAGGAATTGGAAGCTCAACCACAAGCTATTGGAGGTATGATTTACTTTGGTATTGATGGATGCATGCTATGAAAGTTGAGAAGAGATTATTGGAAACATTTAATTCTATCATTTGGTATCAGAGCTACCTTCTCATTCTTTATGGATGTGTCGTTATATTTCCTTTTCCTCCATGACAACCTTTGCTTCTCTCCATCAATTTTGTCCTAGCTTCTGGTTCGTTTTATTTTTCTGAATCTTGGAGCGGGAAGCTCGAAATCGCCCTTTTCCCTGCATATCGAATGCTGCCTAGTCATAAGCTTTGGGTTCCTGATTTTGGCCTCTGTCTTACCCCTTTGTTATGACTCTTCTCCTCTGGTGGAGATTGTTCTGCACCATTGCTGCCGAGTTCATATGAGTCGACTTGGAGAAGTCGATCCAGTCAAATTTCTTCACCTCCAGTAATTCAATCTTCAATGAAGGTTTCTTTTCTGTCAATCTATGTTTTTGGTGTAGTGAAGTATAACCGAAAGGTATAATTGATTTTGCCCCAAAATTATTCTGCTCGAGTTTAATGAAATAATAAGAAATCAAAACACTTGGAGTTTTAAACATTGATTAGGGTTCATAGTATTGATTAATGGTCGAATGATATCTCATATAGCGAAATTGCTTTTCGCTTTTATGTGTTCATGAATTTTTGTGATATTGCTCCATGTTTGTTTATTGGAGAAAAGAAATGGATAATATCTTTTGAGTAGAATAAATATTTTGTCCATGTAGATTATATCACTTTGTTGGAATATAGTTTGGAATGGCTATGTACTCACCTCTCGTGGG